CCGCGCTGTTGTCGCGCTGTTGATGACGTCAGCTACGCTGTTTCGTCGAGCACGGTTTAGTCGAACGCGGTTTTGTGGTGGAACCCTTAGAACACTCCTGACAAAGTTGGAACAACTTGTCTTCAATACAAAAGTTCTGTTTTGAATTAAGGAATATTTGCTGCTTGCACTATTTCAAACTTTTAATGTTTTGGCCCTCTCTAGCAGCAGCCTGCTTCACTTTTTGCAATGACAAGATTTATGTCTAAGTGGCCAGGTGAATATTAAGTATGAAATATTAGTATATGTCGTAATATTATCTCAGTCTATGCCTCATTTAATTGGAAGTAATAAATCCTTAAGACAACAACCAGCCTTTTAAATCTCTGTGCTTGATAGAAGAATACCTGTGAAAGGTGAACGGTTGAGTTGTACAGATATATATATATATTTAAAAAGAATCAGTGATGCAATCTGCCACACAAACTAATAAGAACAGTTTTCAGAGAGCATATGATTGTCATGATGAAACACATACTTGCACTGCGCGTGGAAATACTTGATTAGATTTTGAAGCAAGTCAACTCCTTTTTTAATCTTGATTTCATTGACTTTCAGCAGATACTGTAGATAAAGCACAGGAAAAAAAAGTATTTACTGTTTCTGAATTGGAGCAGCAAACAAGGGATATTCAAGTCTTTTAAATCGGTTCAAACAGCATAGACACTGCAGAGTATATGCTGCCTGAGAAGGTTCCCTTAGTTATTAAGCTTAATAAACAAACTTATAATGATGATTTAATTATTAATTATCTGTTAATTAAATAAAGGAAGCTGTGGGCACTTGATTTGGATAAGATTCACAAGTATTTGAATCCAATTATTTTCCTCGCACATCCCCACATATATAAATATATTGCATATGATTGCTAAAGGCACTATAGTAAAGCTGTTAGTCACTTTCTTTAAATAATAATAAAAAATGACTCTGTGTCGAAAATTCAAATATATTTTCTACATGCAAGCCACTCTAGAAAACACTTCCCACATAAAGCTATTACTATATTGAACAAACATATCTTTTATACAAGCTATAGTTAAAAAGGTAAAGGTTCTCCTTGAACGTATGTGTTAGTCGTTCTCGACTCTAGGGGGCAGTGCTCATCTCCATTACAAAGCTGCAAAGGAAGAGCCAGCGCTGTCCGAAGACATCTCTGTGGTCATGTGGCCGGCATAACTAAACGCTGAAGGCGCATGGAACGCTATTACCTTCCCACCAAAGGTGGTCCCTATTTTTCTACTTGCATTTTTACATGCTTTCGAACTGCTAGGTTAGCAATAGCAGTTAGACTTATATACCGCTTCATAGGGCTTTCAGCCCTCTCTAAGCGGTTTACAGAGTCAGCATCTT